TCCATGTGTAGAGAAGGTGCACTGAACCAAAACGATGCAGGGCATATCTAGGAAATGCATCACATGGCAAGTTAAAATACATTAAAAACAGGAAACTGCTTTTCTTTAGAAGGGCATTGGGTCAACTCCTTCAGGAAACATTATTCAGAATCAATTATGTCTCTGAAGAAGGAATGATGACAAATCAGTTCATCATTTGTGGAAAGAAAGGCAATGCCCTTCTGGGTATGAAACACCTTTATCTGGCAGGAGAACAAGAGTAATTGTCCACTGGGTTACTTAAAACATAGTCTGCCAGGCAAATAAAAGATGCTATTTTCCAGGACAGCGTGTCCCTTAACCTTTTCTGAATATCACACACACTGGGCAAAAATTAACAGAGACTTTAAAAACAGATACCTCACCAAAACTGAGAGAGAGAGAGAGAGAGAGAGAATAGCACTAAATAGGATGAAATAAATTATTTGTGAAAAAGTTCTGCCTGCTTATGGCTGTGGTATATATCCCACATTTTACAGAGGAGTTCCATTGTTTCAGCTAGTATTACTCCTGAGTAAACATGTTTCATTCTGAAGGCTGTAAAAGAGAAACAGGTGTGTATACCCACTGACAATGCAGATCTATTGGAAGGAAATCCCACAGAACTGAGATGTTAAGGGCACAATCCCACATGTGAGTAGCTGGAAAAAAGTTCTACAGTGCCAAGAGTAGGTGGCTGGGCACCAGATGAAGGCCCATGACCCAGCAAGGGGCCAGTGACAAGAAGTCCATGGGACTGCTCTTCCTCTTCCCTGTCACAGCCTTGTCTCTTGCTTTGTCCCAGACAATGGAGGTGGAGAGGAGGAGGAGCAGTAGTTGTTCTTTACCTGACAAGCGAGCTGTAGTAACAATGAGGAAGAAGAGCTGGTAACTAGTGAGACAGTAGAGTCACTGAATGAAGAGAAGATCTTGCCCCCCAAACCAGGAGCGAAGTATCTGTTTGGCGGTATCCAGTGGCCCCTTCCATTGGGGAGCAACTCCCAGATATTATTTGTATAATTTATTAGATGAATAAATAGGGTAGTGGAACAGACTTCAGTATTTGGTGATGCACATGCATGATTTGTGTAAATGGATCCTCCTTTTTGACAGCTAAAAGGCTGATATTGAAACATTGGGAGGACAAAGCAAATGAACGTTCACCTCCTGTAATGCAATTGATGGAGGATCTTTCAATGCTTTCTGTATTTGAATTGGTGACATATTGACATCATCTTCAAATGGATAACTAAATAGATATCTGCTTTACTTTGCTTGAAGTCTATGTATAATTGCCAGAAAGTTGTATTTGCATATTTATACATTTCATGTGCATTCATTGTCATGGATATATACGTGTGTGTGTGTGTGTGTGTGTGTGTGAGTGAGAGAGAGAGAGAGAGAGAGAGAGAGAGAGAGAGAGAGAGAGAGAGAGAGCAACTAAATAAATAAAGAAAAAAGCATTTATTGTCCTCAAATAGTGAGGTTGCCTGAACTTGAATACTTCTGTGTAATAAAAATAAAGTTGTGTGGAAGAGAGGAAATATGCTGACGATGGGAGTGATAATTAGCTGAAAGTTGATGTAACAGTCTCATTTCCTCCTCTTACTAGGTGATTATGTGAGGTTCATTATTACCTGCATGTATATTTTAGGAAAATTATCGGTTTGGGGCATTCTGGTGCAAGTGCGTTTCTTCTACCCATGATGGTTTGCAGCACCAAAGGCAAGTAAGCCAAGCCCCACCACTAGGGCTTCATGCTATGTGCAAACCCAATGAGGGTTGTAGGGGTAGGTGACAAGCCGCCCAGAACCCATGGGCTGTTTCAGAGCTGTGGGTAAGAAGAACCTTTGCTGAGTCTGCACATAACAAGAACCTATAGTTTGCATATACTGCACCCCAAATATTCAAAATGGTGACCACTGCAACATGGAGAAGCCCCGCGGGCAAATTCACCCATCGTAGCTTCTTGCTACGTGTGAACTGCGTTTCTGTCTGTAGTACAATAGTCTGGGTTTGTTAAGTGGCGTTGTGTAGTTAGAGTGCTGTACTAGGATCCAGGATATCCAGGTTCTCATTTTCACTCAGCCATGAAGCTCACCGAGTGATTTTTGGCCAGCCACTGACTCTCAGCCTAATCTACCTCACAGCACCGATGCCGTAAGGAAAGAATAGAAAAGAAGAAAGCCTTGTAAACAAGAGGAAGAGAGGTGGGGTGCAAGTGTTATGGAATAATAATAGACTGGTTGCATGTCTCACTGAATACTTAGGACACCGATACCAAAAAGCTAACCACCGTTGCTTTTTTCAATCCATTCTTACTTGGTATTCAATCAAGTTTTCGTTTAAGTAGGATGGCTTTTGCAGTGAATGTCATGAGCATACAGGAGAAACCGTCTTTGTAGTGTATCCAGATGCAAAAGAGGATGTTGCATCTTTATAACCATTCTGTAACAGAGGGATTTTTTTGCAGCTTTAGGTTTTTATGCAAATGACACCTGCTAAAACTCCCTTTTGCAAATATTAAGGTAGAGTCATATTTGGCATCTTTGGAGACTCTTCCCTTATTTTCCAACGGCAGGTTTGTGTGTGAAGGCCTGTGCGTACATGTGACACCAGGGTCTTTGCTAGGCTGTCAGAAAAGGCTTGTTGGGGGAGTCTGTGGACTGTATTTTCTGCATCCCTGGAATGAGAGCTAATTGGAGTACCGGTTCACTTGTAGGGCTGCAACTCAAGAGATCTGGCTTCTAATTCCCACTTGTTGATGAAACTCAATGTATGACTCCAGGCTGGCCATTGACTCTCAGCTTAAGCTACCTTATTGGGTAAAATAAAGAGAATGAGGACCATGTAAGTCACCCTGAGTTCTTTGCAAGAAGACAAAAGCGGGATACACATGTCATAATGGACATCCATTGCCGTGCCAGATCTATCTCCCATCTGACAATTGAGGACATCTGTGTGGAGTCGTGAGAGAATACTCAACAAGATCTGATTGTGCCAATTTTTATTGTCTGTGGTGGTGATTGTCTGAGCTTTTTGTTCATTTTTGTGGAGAGCAGTTGAGATTGAAAAGTGAGCTTCCCATAGGAAAAGATGGCCAGATGAGATGCAAGGTCCAAGAGCCTTCATGCCCTTAGAGAAGAGTGTATAAACATATTGCCAAGCACTTTTCAGATGAAGTTCAGTATACTGGAAGGAAGTTCCACAGAAAATGAAGAACATCCTCTTCAAAATTGTCCCCAAGGGGAGTCATCCAAATGTGGTAAGTATCTAATGGCAATGGGAAAATGGCACTAGCAACTTTTAAGTGTTATCTAGAATCTCTCTGCCAGCAGATAGCAAAGTAAGCATCAAGGGCTGGTTTTTCAATATTTGGGGGAAAAAAACTTCACAAGAGGAAGGGAGCATTTTAACAATGCAGGATAATTATAGAATAAATGCTGACAATCAAGAAAAGGGTGTGTTTCAAGTTGGGTTTAGCCTTGGACTTTTTCTGATGTTTCTGTTGATATTTTTAACTTGCAGCTTTGCACACTCAAAACAAGCCAATGGAACATCTCTCCTGCATTGCTGTGGCATACCATGTCCCAGAAACCTGGATGGTATGACGTATTGTAGGGTTGTTTGAGGGTTGTTTAACCTTCCAACAAACTAGGGCAGTCGGTTGCAGATGAAAAGACAAGCTGCACCAGGGCGGATAATGAAGCAAATGCTGCCCAGTGCTCACAATAAGCCACCGAGGCTTGTTTTGATTGTGTGAACTGGATTATTATTTTAACCATACACTATGAAAACACGTAAGATACAATTTCCTTCAAATCAACAAGAATCCTTTAACACTATTACCACAGTGGTAGCCAGGGTAGAACATTAAGGTTGCAATCATATCAGCCTTTGCAGATGTGCACAAGGCTCCAATGCAAGGCATGGGAGGTGCTGCCCTGCCTTTTCTCCAGATTAAATAAATAATCAAAAAATACACCCCTCTGTATTTTTTCCAGTGATGTTATCTCAGCTGTTAACATTGGCTACATCATCTGCTAGGATACCTCAAAGATTTCACTTCATTTTCAATATGCTTCCTCCTTATTAGCTGTTAGTGTACAGCTCTTTCCTAACATTGTATGACCACCCAGCAAAATGCACAAGAAAAGTACTTAAACTTTTTTTTAACTCCATAGTGTTCACACTCATTATTTCTGTCATGAGAGTTGGCAAGCCAAGCAGCACATCACAGGGGGGAAAATGTGACTTGTCACAATGTCTCTTAAGAGAACATGGGAAAACCCTTTATAGAGAGTTGGGATAAAAATAGGAAGCTCCCAGGATCACAGTACATGCTGTATCAGTTTAACTCATTCCGAATTCCTGATCTGGGCTAGATCTGGCGAATTTGTACACATTTTAACTTTATATTTTAAATTTCTTGTTTTATAGTAAGTTCTAAGATAACATGTTTTATAATATGCCTTATTTTAACTGTGATGCTTCTGACAGAAAAAGAGAGGGAGAGAGAGGGAAGGACGGTCAGAAGGAAAGACAGACAGACAGACAGACAGACAGATTTGGGTTTGCCCTCTTTACCTTTGAGTGTATCTGGTAAAATTAATCATTGGGATCATGTATGTGCTTGAGTATGTGTGTGCTGTATTTCCACATGTTTATAAATCTGCATGATTTATATAAATTCACATTCTCAGGCACATAATGATAGATCATTTTTACTGATCCCTTATAAAGGACCTAGCCCTTTTCTAAGTAGTGTACAGAAAGTAAAATGTGAGATGGTTCTTGCTCATAGGATAACAATATAGTAGTTATGAAAGAAAGAAAAGGGAAATAAAAATAGGGAGGGAGGAAGAAAATAAACCAATTCAGGTTCCAGTGCTGAATTGAGTGACACAATTGAAGGTGGTCATGCATCCTCTTTTACAAAGGACAGTGTGAAGAGCTGCCAGAGGACCATCGGCTAAGGTGTCCTCTGTTATGTGGTCATATTAAATTTTCCCATTTCCCCCCACAGGTAAAGTGACACATTAAGTCTGGTGAGAAAGGAAGGGAAGAAAAAAGGGTGGCCATTTAATTAGTTCAACCCTAGAACAGAAAATGCTAGTGCCTATGAAGGGGCTCAAATAAAGTAAGTTGTATATCCTTATTCTGAATCTGTATTGTTATTTGATAATACTTTCAGGTTGCAATTGTACAGATACTAACCTGGGAGTAAATATGGTTAAACTCAGTTATTTTATGAGTAAACATAGGACTGTATCCAGCAGTAGTCTAACTAACCCATTTATTTCAGTGGATATACCCTTAAGTTGAACTAACATCGGATACAACCCATGCACTGAATTGCCCAATCAGTTCGCCATCACCTTATCTGATTTATCTTTATCACAAAGCCATGGAAAAACGGATGCTGTGGGACATGGCCAGCAGCAAATCTATTATGGGTCTGAAAACCTTGAACCCAGATCTTTCCCCTCTCTGAACAGTGTTCACAAGATATCATTTATTTGAAAACCCATCCACCTGCTTCTGCTCTCCCTTCCTGATTAAAGAATTTGAGTATTTTTGGAAATTAAGTTTGTAATTTTTTTTCTTGTTCTGAGTAGGGGGTAGTGGGGGTTAATGAACAGAGGAATGCATGCAGAGAACATCCATGCAGAAATCAGACTGCACTTTCTCTCATGCTATATATAATCACACGTGTTGCTTGGAGTTCCAGTATGAACCAAGTGTCATGTATAATGCTGAATCTTATTATGTCTGCAATTGCAGTAAGAAATTAAGCGTGCATGCCCTTACTACCTGATGCTGCAAATGCAAATAAGTAACCATCATGCTTTCAGCAGTTGGGCTTCCAACCTCTCTGGGTAGTGACAATCTTGCCTGCACAGTTATCTGAAGAAAAGGCATTTCCCCCTTTATTCACTCTAATTTTGTTTCGTTCTTTTAGTCTATCCCCACTTTATATGCTTTTCCCCCTTGCAACAGGGTTTGCCTATGACCTTTGCCTAATCATCAGTTTTCTTGGAAATCTCAAGTGCTTCTCTGTATTTAGAAGATTAACACTTCTTCATCAGTACATTTGATAAAACTTGTCGGACAGAACTTTGAAGAAGTTAGCTTAAGTCTTTAGCACCACAGTGTAATGCCAAGACAAGCAACCCTAAAAGAGAATCACAAGGCTTGCTGGGTCAGCCAATAATTATTCTAACCCACTTACTAATACAATCATTTTAAATTCCAAAATGTGACATGAGGGGCCTTATACATAACCCAGTGAAAAAAACTAAGATATTTTATGAAACTGGTTTGTTTTATCTACGTTCCCCACAGATATCTAAAATATTTACTTAAGATTCCTATCACTGAGGTAACATTTTGTTGTTTTTTTTAATATCTTGATTGTAATACAGTTAACACACACAAATGCAGCATTTCAAGCAGCTCCTTAAATATATTTATTTTGGAGTCAAAGAGAACATATAAACTTCCTATTGCTGTAACTAATCGAGCAGACAAAATTATCATTTTTAATTATTTATTGTACAAAGTGCTTTATTTTCACTAAGACCAACAGTACCCAGCACTAATTACCCTCAAAATCTGTTGATTGCACTCAGGTGTAGTTTTCTTCTTTCTTTCTTTCTCTGATTCACTTTCTTTGCTTTGTACACTTATCCTGTCTCCGCTCAAACGTATTTTGTGAACTTTAAAATAATTGAAATCAAATGTAGATTAAACTATAAAAATTAAAATATGATTTTTAAAGCCAAACCTACAAACACGTAGCTACAATTGTGTACATGAGAAGGGCCATAGTAAAGGGGTATGAAGACATAGATGTATGACATGGAACTCACCCAACAGATTTATTTATGTATTTTTATGTGCTGCCTGCTAGTCCATAAGGATTCTCTGTGCAGCTTACACATGAACCATTATCAAACTTATTTGTGGCGCAGCAATTCATAAAAAGAAGGAATTTCCTCTTTCTGTTAAGTTGTGTGGCTCAGTTGCTTAAGTTGTAACTGTAATATTTTCATCAAATTAGGCATCGTTTCCCTTCTGTCACATGATGATACTAATATTTATTAATCCCACATTTTATTAAAAGTACTGAGATTGAATTTATGGAAAGACCAGACATTTCCCGTCTTATTGTTAAAAATAGCTGCTTTAATATTGTGCAATACAGTAATTCTCATCCCTCTCACCCACTTACCCTCTCAGTCAGAAGTGCTGTTTGGAGGGACCTTTTCATCAATGATTACTACCAAGTTCCCATTTCAATTTTATTAACTCAAAAAAGGAATATTATAGTTGTAGCCACAGAAGTAGCAGCGGGGTTCTGGTTTTTTTTGTGTTTGTTTTTTGCCAAATGGCTACTTTCCTTCTGCATTTTCTTTGATCCTCTGTGAGAACATCAATGAGTAATTCTTAAGGTACATGTTAAAAGTTAAGCTAAACAGCATTAAGCAGAGTTAAAGGTTACAAGTTTACAAAACTGACCCATTCTCTCAGGAGCAACATCTCGTGAGTTCTTTCATGGTGGGCCCAAGTAGGGGAAAAGTTGATGTGCTCAGGGCAAGTATGTCACGATGATGATATGTGATTTACCAACTGTCTGCCTGTCTGCCTGTCTGTCATTCCTTAAACTGATTTCTGTTAAAGTCTGTAGAATCTAGATCAACCATCAGCGGGGCATTAGATTAAAGGCCACTGTTCCAAAGGGCTGGCTGAAGGCAAAGAACAAGATGGAGCCTCTTTCCCATTCCAAATCCAAAAGCCTGTGGGATTAGCAGATGAATCTATCAGTAACACTGATGACAGTCCACTGCACCTGAAGGCACCAGGCTAACCGAAGGGGTTCAGAGCAGGTTGCTATGCACAGTCCCCCTGCCCCCCCCCCACGTGTTGCTGCCACCTCCTAGAAGCTGCTCCCTGAGACAACTGCCCAGTGGTAAGGGAGAGGCTTCAACCCACCCTGACCCTTCCCAAGGGTCACTCCAGGTCCTGGAACGTTGGTCAAGGGAAATGAGGTTGGTCCCCTCTCTGTTATTCTTCGGCCAGCATGCAAACCCTAAGCTGAAGGGGGTTTAAAGGGGTGTTATTTATTGATCTGATTTTATTTATACTCTACCTTTCTACCAAGCATGGCACTGCTTATTTATTGGCTTGTTGTATTTTTAATATTTAATAGTCTCTTAATTGGGAATCCAAAGATTTCTGGATGCTGACTTGAGCCATAAGATTGCTCTGTTATTCTTTCAGTTGATGTTGTTTTAAAATGTTACTCTATTTTAAATCTTTGCAGCACTGCTAGGATTTAGTTGGGATTTTTTAAATCCTATATTAAACCTTCATGCTTTTATATGTTTTATATCCTGACTTATATACCATATATCATATAGCAATGTTTTATACCATGTCTTAACTTGTTGTATATTATGGTTTTAATGGTTGTAAACTGCCCAGAGAGCTCTTGCTATTGGTGGTATAGAAATGTAATAAATATAATAACAGGTGTGGGAAAAGTCATCTGGATCATAATTGTTAGTGGTATGGGAAGCCCTTGTGCCAAAAATGTGGCCCAGCCCCTAACGTAGATACACGAGCCTGAAATCACTACTAATGTTTCATGTGGGCCATTTCCTGTTGGAATGCACCTTCTGGAGAGCAAGTCACCGTGTTCTTCTACTTTTCCTCTCATCTTACACAATCCTGTTAGTCTAGTTTGATGGCCAGTTCTACTCATTCATGTTGAGTGGCTGGTTAATTATATGCCCAGTAATGTTATCATTTAATGTAAGACCAACATAGAATGGCTTCCAGTAATGAGACATCAAAGGGAGACTGCCATGTAATTATAGCAACATGCTACAAATATTCACTCATAAATATTCAGCCTGTTTCGTACTTTATTTATTTTATTTATTTATTAAAACATTTTTATGCCGCCCCATTCGCCGAAGCCTCGGGGCGGCTTACAACATAGATAAAACAAGTTAAAATCCATATAAAATAATCTTAATTAAAACTCACATTATAAAATAAGCCGCCCTGGCCAGATAAAATTCAATTGTATTTAGCATTTAAAATGTTGCTTAAATAAAAAGGTCTTAGCCTGGCGCCGAAAAACAAATAACGACGGCGCCAGGCGGACCTCTCTGGGGAGCGCATTCCATAACTTAGGCGCCACCGCTGAGAAAGCCCTTCTCCGAGTAACCACCCTCCTAATTTCTCTCACGGAGGGCTCCCGGAGAAGGGCCTCTCCCGCCGATCTCAGGGGGCGACTGGGCAAATATGGATGTAAGCGCTCCTTCAGGTAACCAGGACCCAAGCCGTTTAGGGCTTTATAGGTCATTACCAACACCTTGAATTGGGCCCGGACTTCAATGGGGAGCCAGTGAAGCTGACGGAGAACTGGCGTCATGTGAACATAACGTCCAGTCCCCGTCAGCAGCCTGGCAGCTCTATTCTGAACCAATTGAAGTATCCGGACCGTCTTCAAGGGTAGCCCCACGTAGAGCGTGTTACAGAAGTCAAGACGGGAAGTCACCAGCGCATGAGTCACTGTTGCAAGGCAGTCGTACTCCAGGTAGGGGCGCAGCTGATGAATCAGCCGAAGCTGGAGGAAAGCGCTCCTCGCCGCTGTTGTCACCTGAGCTTCAAGTGAAAGCTCCGGGTCGAGGAGCACTCCCAAGCTGCGGACCTTGTCCCTAGGAGGGAGTGCAACCCCATTCAGGACAAGGTTCAGGTCACCTTCTCTGAAGCCCGAACCGCCAACCAACAGGACCTCCGTCTTGTCTGGATTGAGCTTCAGTTTATTGGCCCTCATCCAGCCCATTACCTCGGCCAGGCACCGGTTCAGTACAGCCACTGCCTCACCTGGATTGGTGGAAAACGAGAGGTAGAGCTGGGTATCATCAGCATACTGATGGGTCCGCAGCCCACACCTCCTGATGACCTCTCCCAGCGGTTTCATGTAGATATTGAACAGTAAAGGGGACAAAATGGAACCCTGCGGTACCCCATGGCAAAGCTGCCATGGCGCAGAGCCATAGTCCCCCAACACCACCTTCTGGAATCGGTCGTTGAGATAGGAGCGGAACCACCGCAAAGCGGTGC